ACAGTATTAAACTGCCCCCCTCCCAAGTTCTTGTCTTTATACCCATAGGTTAGTGCATATCTTGACTCTCATAAGAACCTAGCATGCTCAGGGCTGGAGAGATAGCCCAGTGGTTAAGAGTACTGACTGCTCTTCCAGAGGACCCGAGTCCAATTCCCAGGACCCACATGGCAGCTCACAACTGTCTGTAACTCCAGTTCCAGGGGACCTGACACCCTCACACAGACATGCATGCAGGCAAAACACCAATGCCATAAAATAAAAATAAATAAATTATTTTTAAAAAAGAACCTAGAGTGCTCGGCTCTAAATGAGGCATCTATAATTATATCCCCTCTCCCCAAGGCTCAGGGATTTTTATAGAAGTGGGGGAATAAAGGATTGTAAAGGACTGTAAGAGCCTGGGGTAACAGACATTTGCCTTGAAACATTATTTCATGGCAGTACCACTATACACATGAACACAGTGGCTGTAACTGCCCGCACAAGACCTGAATAAGAGCAAGCCAACTAAAATCCCAGCGCTGACAGAGGAGGGCTTATGAAGTCCCACCCCCAGCTGAGAAGCTACAGATGACTAACCCATGCTCCAGTCGACGGCTCTACACTCACGCACAGGCAGGCAGCACTAAGCAGATTCAGTGGGTTTAGGGGGGATTGTAACGAGGTTGGGGGAGATGGAGAGGAACTGTAGAGAAGGGAATAGAGAGTGGATTTGACCAGAACACATATGCATAAATGAAATTCTCCACAGAGACAACAAAAAGAAAGTTGTGGTTTGGGTCAGAGTGTAACTAAGTTGTGGAATACTTGCCTAGCATATACAGAGCCTCCCGCCAACCCCGTTATACAGGGAGGAAACGCTGGCATTTGCCTGTACCAGCTCCCTGATTCTTGAGGTAGTTTAATGTGGTTTACGATATGGGGGATTCATTTGCTAGACTATTCTGGTGTGTGCGAGAATAGAAACCATGCCTTCAGTGGTATTGCCACCTTACAAAATAAACCTACAAAATAATATACTATAAGCCCACTTCAAAAAAAAAATGATTTATTTGGGGCTAGAGAGATGGATCAGCAGTTAAGAGTGCTAACTGCTCTTTCAGTGGACCCAAGTTTGAGTTCCAGCACCCACACTGGGTAGCTCACAACCATCTGTAACTCCAGCTACCGGGGATAAACAGCCTCTCCTGCCCTCCTTGGGCATGTACACACATGGATACTTAAAATACATACATACATACAGACATACACACACACACACAATTTTTTTTTAATTTAGTAAGAATTTTCTTTTTTTAGTAAGAATTTTTTGGGGTTGGGGATTTAGCTCAGTGGTAGAGCGCTTGCCTAGCAAGCGCGAGGCCCTGGGTTCGGTCCTCAGCTCTGTTTAAAAAAAAAAAAAAACAAAAAAAAAAAAAAAAAAAAAAAAAGAATTTTTTAGGATTCTTTTTTATTCATATTTAGAGATTTTCTTTCACATTAGTCCATGTTGATAAGGCAAGAACTTTCTAGAATTATGACCTAGTAAGAGTCCAGATGGTGCTTCCTGATTTGTCCTTCCTTGTTGCCCTCCAAGAGCAGAAGATGGAGGGACAGCCACAGCATCAGGGAATGTGGACACTGACCTGAATCTGCTAAACTCATAAGAGAAGCCAAGTGTGTAGGAAGTGACATCAGAGGTCTGACGGGACCTGGGTGTGGAGGTAAGAGCAGTCCCTCTGCAGCAGCAGGGTTCCCGCCTACTCCGTGTGCAGGGTGCCCACCTCCCGTGTGCAGGGTGCCCACGTATCTGCAAAGCCCCCACAACGCTAACAGCCCTGTGAAAAACAAGAGCACACAGCCCTCCAGAGCTCAGCCCTTAGCCCAGCCAAAGAGCAGACAGAGCCTGGGAAGTGTGGGGGCACGAGTCTCCAGAATCAGGCTACAGTATCCTCCTTGCATTTTGCAGTGGTCACAAGAGCAAATTCCAAACTGTGGATGGAAGAGGAATAACACTGAAGAGAAGGGAATGTACTGAGTCCCGCGTCCCCAGCGGAAGCCTGGGTGAGGAATGCAAACATCTTCAGGAATGAGGAGGTTCAAAAAAGGGTGCCGCCCCCTCTGACCCTGAGACAGCCCAAACTCCTCTAGATCCTGGGATTTGGGGGAGGAGGAAGACAGAGTCAAGAAGCAAATTTTAAAGGAAAAGAGTGTCAGAGGGAAGACAAAAGAAGGCAGAACCAATGGGCTGTGTTTAAACCCTCGTGACCTCTCTTCTCATCCGCGTTGGGAGAAAATGTGGTTCGTAGGGCCGTAGGCAAGAAAGAAAGACTCATCAGATCACCTTCCTGGAAAGGTCGTGGAGCAGGCAGGCGGCCACATCTGGGATATAAATAGCACGGAGAAGCTTAGCTCCACAGTGCTCAGGACCTGAAAGCCCCTAACTCAGGAGACACCAAGAAACTGCCCCCTGCAGGGGCTTCCCCCCTGGCAGCTGCTTCGGGACTGCAAATGAGAAGGAAGCGTCATTGCTCTCTCTTCTCTCCGCTGCCTCTCTGCAAAGCTGCACCAAGGCCTAGGTGTGTCTGTTTAAACCTTGTCTCTAGATTTAGGGAAGGAAGAAGGGCTGGGTGTGGCCAGGCGGATAGGCAGATGACAATGATCAATATGTGTATTTTTGAACTTCAAGAAAAAAAAAAAGACCACAAAAAAGGAATAGGGCTGACTTCAGTTACCCATCCACACGTCAAAGGGGAGCTTTAGAAGGGGTTAGAGTCAGGAGAAGCTGCGTCCAAACACGGACAAACGGCTGAACTCTCCCGCGCCCATTTCCTCATTTGCAATAGAGACAATCACTCTGAAGATTAAACAAATAACGTGCTGGAAATTCTCAACCAGTAAATACCAGGCAAAAGCTGTTGTTTAATGCTGTGTGTTAAGTGGGAAAGCATGTTTCGAACTTGAGAGGTTCTGGGAGCCAAGGCTGGATCAAAGGTCTTCCAAATACAATCCCGCAAAGGACAACATCCTTCGTCCTTAGTGGCCCCTTCTTCCCAGTCTCTTGGACGTGGTCTCTTGCTGGGCAGGGGCTGGGGTTTTCCTCCCCCCACCCCCCAGGCTGTCACACTGAAATGTTTGTTCGGTTTCCTTCCTTTCCAAAGCCTAGCAGATTAGATGGCTGAGTCCTGTCCCGCTTACCAAGACAGACAAGAAAAAGTGAAAGTAGGTTTATCCAAACGTCCACGGAGGAGAGAGCTCACCAAGAGCCTCTTACTGCGCCCAGCCCAAGGTCCTAGCAACCGAGCCCTTAGAGAGGACCCCATAAAGAAAGCCTCGTAGCTCTGAGCCCCCAAAGGCATAGTGGTCTACACTGTGGTCCATGTCAAGTTAAATCTGAGCCATTCAGCCTACGACAGGGGCATAGCCCAGCTGTGCACCTGCATGAAGACAGGACAGGAAGTCAAAGAAGTGCCACGCCCCTGCTGTTTTGTCTGTCTAGTGTTCCAGAACTTTCAGCAAACATCTGGGAGGAAGACCGTGATGCTCTTCTGAGGCTTGACTGACCAGCTAACTTGACTTCCTCCACCATCCCCTCTGGGGCTGAGGTGGGGGGGGGGGTGGGCATGGCAAGGCAAGCTCTCTGTCAGACTCACTTCATCAGTCACCAACAACCAAACCCTGCATGTGCTCAGGATTGCTTCTGTCCCCCAGTAAAATCCTAAGCTGAGCAGATAGAGTTCAGCTCACTATGATGACGTGAGGGAGGTTGCAGGCCCTACTTCCTTAAAGCAGAAGAGAGAAGCCGCAAGCACCAATGTAAGGGAAGAGAAGATTTTGCAGTCACCCTCCACCGAACAGCGGGCAGTTCCCAAATCAGCCTCCAGAAACTCGCCAGCTATGAGGTGGGTAAGGATCCCATTGCCAGCCCGCTAAAACTCCATTAGGAGTACCACAATCTGCAAAAAAGAAAGTTTGCAAACACAGCCAAAAGACTCTCAGTCAAAAGACAGCAGCTAGAGGAAACCCTCCAGACTCATGTTGACGTCCTACGGTTCTTCTGTTTGCCCTCAGCAACAACTTTCATTCATTTGCTCCACAAACGTTCCTCTTGCTGGAACCCTGGATCAGGCGGCACCTACGGGAAGCTAAGATCTGCCATGATGATTACGCTTCCCCAAAAGCCCTCCTCTGGCCGCTCCATACACCAGGGGCTCCTGCTTGGTATTATAGGTGCCCTGCACAGCCTGGGTCCTCCACCAGTCGGCCGGCTCCCAAAAGACCCGGGCTCAGCTTCTCGCTCACTGATCACTTAGTTCGTTATTACCCAAACAAGTCATTAGATGCAACCGGGTTGAAGATACAACTTCTACCCTTCCAGAGTCTCTTGCTTAGCAGTTGCTGAAAGCTTTGACCTCCCCCTCGGGAGTGGGGGCAGACAACAAAGAAAGAACACGGGAAGGGGGGAACGACTTGGAACTTCAGCCCCAACTGCAAAGCAAAGTGCCCCCAGGAGCCACAACTGGTTCAGACTCCCCCTGCTCCTGTTCCAATGTTTATACTCCTCTGAAAAACTCTTAAGAGAGTCCCAACCGGGACAGGAGTTACAAACGGAAGATGCTTAAGAAGGAAGGAAGCCTTTAAGGCGAAAGACAGGGCTGTCCCGGGCAGAAGGTGAACAAGGGTGCCCTGATACTTTTTTCTTCCCACACGACCTGGCCTCATCCCTCCTTTTTTTTTTCTTTTCCTTTGAAATTTTAATGGCATAGTCTCGAGGCTGAGCAGAACCGGGAAGCGAGGACAGAAAGCGAGGGTCCCCCTCGGAAAGGGTTACCTAGCCTGGCAGCGACCTGCGTTTTCCACCAAGTCACCTCCATTGCCAGGAATCCCAGAAGCCCGTGGCGGGACCAGACGAAAGGAGGAGTCTCCCCGGGGTAGCATTCTAGGCCCGCCAAGTTAAAAAAGGAGTGAGAAGGAGAAGGAAGAGGCTCCAGCACCCAACTCGTGCCCGAGGGACTTGCCTGGGATGTTCTCTGCGCTCCTCCCCTACCCGCTGCCCGGGCAGTCCTTGCGGGGCTACTACCCCAGCGCTAGACCGGCGGAGAAGTTCCGCCGCTGCAAACGTGAGAAAAAGCAGCTCTGCAGGACACCGCCCCCACACGCCCCACCCCACAGCCCGACCCCTGGCGGTGGCGACCTTGGTCACCCTGAAGGCGCCAGTGCACGGGAGGAGGGGTTGCCTTTGGGGCTTTCCTGGGAGCTAGAGAGGTCGCCAGGATCGGGCCACCTCCGGTCGCCGTCTACCACCCGGACTGGCGCCACCAAGCCCTCGCACCCGACTCCCCTCGGCCAGCCGAGGCTGCTGCACCCCGGCCCTTGCGCCGCGCGCCTCTCCACCCGGACTCACCGCTCTGTGCGCAGCAAGGGTCGCATCGGGTCCCAGGGATCTTGCACGCCTCGGGGCTGCGGCTCCCCGCCCGTCCTGCCGCGCTCTTCTCCCCCACCCGCCGCCGTCCTCCACGGCCGTGTCTCTCGACTCTTTTTTCCGGGTTAATTACGTTTCGCATTAAAGCAAAACCCAGCCCCGGATGTGAGTACAATGCTCCGCGGGCCTCCGGGGGAGGAGAGGGGTGCGGGGACCGCGCGCGGGGACGGCAGAGGGGGTGGCAGGGGGAGGGGGAGATATGTGGCCCGGCCGCAGCAGGTGTCCACGCTGGGGTGCGCTTCCCCAACCTACTCTGCAGGGCGCAGCCCGCCCAGCGGGTGGTGGCCCGGGAGCGCGAGGGGGCGTTGGGTTTGGAGGTGGAAAGAGGAGCGTAGCACCCTGCGGTCTGCAGTGCGCCCCGGGATCCCAGCGGGCCGCTGGCGCTCTGACCCGGCTTGCTCGGCCCTTCTCGGAGCAGTGGGAAACAGAAGCCTGGATTCGATAGGTTTGGCCTGGGGTGACTAGACAGAACTCCTGCTCCCTCACCCTGCAGCCACACAGCAACCCATAGGTATCAATCCCGTGCCCGATGAGGAAACCGAGAGTCCAAGACGTTAGGTAACACGCTCTGGGTCCCCAGTCAGTAGAGGGCAGGTCTGTCCGGTCTGACACAGGCCTTCCTCATGGGGACATAGACATTTAAATGTAAAGCCAGGCGGACAACATCCGAAATCTAAATATAGTGGATTCGCACAGGGGACTGTGCACCTAGAAATGCGGCAGAGATGCGGCGTCTGGGGATGCTGATGTCAGCCCCGAGGGTCCTAAGCGTCCTCGGAGGGAGCACCGCGAAACTCGCCCTGGGAGCCTCTGCAGGAACAGGCCTGGATTCGCGGGTGGGGAGGAAAGGCCGCCCCCCCAGCAGAGCAGTGCAGGGCAAAGGCAGCCGGTACCAAAACCTGGGGGCCGAGGGCCACAGCCAGGTGAGCCGACCGGAAGGCGGGACCGCCCGCAGCACACGCCCCGAAAGCTCCAGTGATGAAACCGCGGGCGCTTCCTCTTCTATTTTGATTGCCAAAGCGAAAATAAGCCGCCCAGTTCGCTCAGGTGTGAAAAGAGACGTTTGCTTTAGAACATTTTGCCCTGAATGAGGAAGGAAAGGACACACGGTTGGGGGGGGAGCCATTTCCCTTGAAATAAACATCAACGTCAATGCTGCGCGTTCTTAGAGGTCTGTTGCCCTGCACTTGGGCCTCAGGCAGCCTTACCCCAAGCTGGGTAAATCCCAGCCGGCTCCCATCCCCTAGGCAGCTGGTGACCCATGACTCGATCCGTGCCTCGGTTTCTACATCTGGGTCAGTGAGTCAATTCTTGCAGAGTGTTTCTTCCCAAAACAAAGGTGCTATGTGATTTTTTTTTTTTAACGAGATGGTCATTTTTACCGTAAAAAGGAGCATAATTCTTGGGGGGAATTCATACTGGAAGCCTGATGGCTCGGGTCGGATTTGCTGAATGAGTGCTGCCGGAAAATCCCGCTGGGGCCGCAGCTCAGCAGCAGTTCGGTACAAGCGTCAGATTTCATGGTATGGTTCCTATTAAAACCCATAAAGCTGCTCCCGGGGGCCCTGCCTGACTCACCCAGTCACAGACCCACAAATATTTTCTGAGCACTACTGTACTGGCTGCCAGGGAGGCAGAGACGCCATAGGCCTCCCTCAATTTCCTTCATAGATGAGGGGGAAACCTGTCTCTGTCGGGAGGAATCCGCCTTCAGTATTCCAGAGAGCCAGAAGAGCCTCTGTGACAGACAGGATTTCTCACGGGCTTTGGGTGAGCCTAAGAAGTAGTTTAGGTCAACTGAGGCAGGGTCACACTTCCTGGGAGCCCCATTACTGTCGTCCCCTCCATCCCGGTAGGCACTAGATACTTTCTGCACTGAGTCCAGTTCGACCAGCCTGGGTTTCCCAGACTTCTCAGATGGCCGCTCCACCAGCTCTAACAAGCACCACCGAGCACGTCTGCAACTACAGCCTGTCTCTGTCTGTGTCTGTCTGTCTGTCTCATAAAATACATATACCAGAAATTACACCATTGTAACCCATCTAAAGTACACATGTGGGGACATATTCGGTGGCATATTATACACTTGTCACCACCGTACAGTTCCAGACAGCTTCCATCATCCCTACAGGTGACCTCACAGCATCCTCCTCTCCCTTCTCCCGGCCTTGAGTCATCACTATTCTGCTTTCCACCAAGTCACATATACGGGACATTTCCCATGAGGGAAGTCAGGCGACAGTGGCTTTTGTATCTAGCTCCTCACACTTGGCATTTCTTGATAAACTCATTTTGAAATCTTTTCACTGTCACTTTATGCATTAACGTTGCCTCCCTGCAATAAACCAGCCAACAATGTGAGTCTTAACCTCTAGAGAGAGGGACATCAAAGAAGATCTTTTACGAAAACTATTTTAGTCACCTCACTGGATCCGTGCAACATAAAGTTCCAAAATCATTTAAGGTTTTGCAGCTAGTTAGTGGTTTCAGTTGGCTCCAGAACACTTAACTACTTAACAGGCTTAACTACTGCTAGAATCTTCCAACACAGAAATTTCTCCTGAAAATGGGAATATCTAGCAGGACCCAAGAATCTAAGCAGCCCTGTGTCTAACACAGCCATTTCATCATGTACTTTCTATTTTCAAAGCTGGTGAACTAGAGAAGCTAATGACATTGAGTGGTGAGCCATTGTTCCCTCCGGGGAACTGTATTATTCTTTGTCCTCAGAGGGCCCCATTATTAAGGTTCTGAGCTGCAGCTGGGACCACTTGATGAGACCAAAGTCAATTCACTTGGTCCTCTTCAAAACGGTTTGTTTTGCCCAGAGATAAGCTGCTTCCGGGCCATGCAGTGTACCTCCAAGATTCAGAGACCATTTTTCTAGGTCGTTGTTACTTTTCTTTTTTAAGTGGTAAAGTGCCATAAAGTGATTGTACCAGCCAATTCTAAGATGACTCAAACTACTATTATTCTGCTCAGTTTTCGACCCAGATATTTTTCTTCCCTTATACATTCCATTTCCTTCTTTTCTAGGGACACACTGTTAAATGCTTTACATATATTCTCCAATGCAAGTCTTACAATGGCACTAAGTGCCAGGAACCATTATTTCCCTATTTTGTATTGAAGAGATCAGTACTACCGCACTCTCAAGATGAAGCCTGGGTTCAGAAGCTGGCAGCCTGAGGCCAATGTCTGCCCTCCTTCCCCTGAGCTACATTGACATGGGATGGGCCTTATAAAGGCCCCGGGAAAGAATGCAAGAATCCTCCCCTCAGTTCTAGTCATCGTATTTCCATTTCATCTGCAATAACATATTGAAGGGCATGTCCTAAGGAAATTATGGCTACATAAATATAAAGAGGTTTGCATATACAAATGTGTCTATGTGCCTATTCAGTGCAGCATTCTTTACTATGGTAAGAATTGGAAATCATTTAAGGGATAGAACAGGTCAACACTGGTCCATGAATACATTCTTATACTGTGCCCTGACCAAGGAAGAATGCAGTTAGGTTGGGAGCAGGATTCAGTCAGCCCATGCTAGGCAAGCATCAGGAAGGCCCAGGTTCAGTTCAGAGAAGCAAAAGAAGAGCTAAAGAGAGAGAGGAGGAGGGAGGGAGAGGGGGGTAAAGAAGAAATCCTATTTAAAAACATTGCAAAGCCATATATATATATATTACAAAATATAAATGTGAATGATTTATTCTGAATTTTAAAATTATGTATTATATTTATTTTATGTGCATTGGTGTTTTGCCTGCATGTATGTCGGTGTGAGGGTGTCAGATCTTGGAGTTACAGACAGTTGTGAGCAGCCATGTGGTTGCTGGGAATTGTTCCCAGGTCCTCTGGAAGAGCAGTCAGTGCTCTTAACTGCTGAGCCATCTCTCCAGCTCTTATTCTGAATTTTCTTTCGGGGGAGGGGAGCGCAGTTTCGAGACAGGGTTTCTCTGTGTAGCTTTGGAATCTGTCCTGGAACTCGCTTTGTAGGCCAGGCTGGTCTCGAACCAGCCTCTGTATGTGTGTGTGTGTGTGTGTGTGTGTGTGTGTGTGTGTGTGCGCTTGCATGTGGAGACCAGAGATTGCTCGGTATCTTGATCATTTCGTTTATTCAGGCATGGTCTCTCACTGAATCCTGAGTCTGCTGATTCAGCTAGTCTAAACAAACAAGCTGGCCCCGGGAATCCCTTGTCTCCACTGCTCCAGTGCTGGTTCATCGTTAGGTCACAGCACCTACCCAGCTCTTATGTGGGTCCTGGAGATCCAAACTCCAGTCCTCACACTGGTACAGCAAATTGTGTATTCACTGAGCTAACTCTCTAGCCCATGCTTATTTTTTTTTTTTTTTTGCAAAAATGAATGTGTGCATTTAGTTATCAAAAGAACAATTATTAAGTTTTAATAAAAATTGAGACTGGAGACATGGTTCAGTGGTTAGGAGCACTGACTATTTTCCAGAGTACCTGGGTTCAATTCCTAGCACTCACATGGCAGCTCACAACTGTCTGTTAACTCCAGTTCCAGGGGATCTGACACCCTCACAGAGACAAACATACAGGCAGGCAAAACACTAATGCACATCAATTTAAAAAAAAAAAAAAAAGTAAGTTTTAATACAATTTAAAAGTTCTATGAGATAAAAAAATCACATTGCAGTCCT